CATGTAAATATTGTCAACAGAAACACAACACAATGCTACACATACATAAGGGACCGACTAAAGACACTGTGCACACCACACTCGCTAGTAACAGTAGCTCACAATCACAACACGCATCAGTATTACTTTCCACTGCCTTAGTGCATGTCATCGCTAGTGATGGAACACCACACTTAGCCAGGGTTTTGCTGGACAGTGGAAGTACCTCCTGTTACATTACAAACAGTCTGAGTAAAAAGCTTAATCTTACATTCGAACCCATACACGGCACAGTTTCAGGCATAAATCAGCAGCAAACAAACATTTTTTATCGCACAAAAATTCAGATAAAATCATTACATGGTTCATTCACAACTAACTTATCATGTTTGGTACTTGACACGATAGCACAGTCATTACCTTACATGCGCATCAATACACAAGGTTTGAATATACCTAAACATTTAAAACTAGCCGACCCTCAGTTCTATGAACCCGCAGCAGTTGACATATTGCTAGGTGCAGACATATTTTGGCAAATAATTAGCAGCGGTCACATTCGATTAGGCAAAAACCAGCCTACTTTACAAGAAACTGAATTAGGCTGGCTAGTTTCCGGTTGCACAACAAACACCGACAAGCAAGCAAACAGTTGTTTTTTCAATAACAACAGCTCAGATCAGTTATCACGCTTCTGGGAGCTAGATAGTTTAACTAATACACAAGTAGACGATCCTTCCGACTCAGATGCATGCGAGATAATTTTCACTCAAACAACTATAAGACAAAGTGATGGTAGATTCGTTGTCACTATTCCATTTAAAAAGTCACCTGATTGTTTAGGTGACTCCTATTTTCAAGCAAAAAGACGGTTTTATTCAATAGAAAACCGCATGAATTCAAATCCCACATACAAACAACAGTACTCAAACTTCATAACAGAGTACATACAGCTAGGTCACATGTCTTTAAACAAACACTCACATCAAAATACATACATTAAATCAGAACATAAAACATCAAACCTACAGTCAGGTACCAGCACGAACACAAACACACAGCACTCACCAGTATACTACCTTCCACATCACGGTATTGTACGCGAGACCAGCACCACTACAAAATTCAGAGTAGTATTTGATGGTTCCGCAAAGACGTCCTCAAAACTATCACTCAACGACATTCAGTTAGTAGGACCTGTCGTCCAAGACGATCTTGTTTCTATACTCATACGGTTTCGACAACATAAGTTTATAATATCATCAGATATTGAGAAAATGTTCCGCCAGGTCATGCTGATGGAGCATCAGCGCCCAACACAACAAATCATATGGCGATACAATCCTACGGAACCTCTGCAAACATATACGCTCAACACTGTCACATATGGCACGGCATCGGCGCCGTATTTAGCAACACGCTGCATAAAACAAATAGGCTTAGATTGTAAAAACACACAGAATCATTCAGACAGCTATGATCACAAAATTGTCTCCGAGGTCATCTTGCATGATTTTTATTGTGATGATCTTTTGACAGGAACCGATGATGAGTCATTACTCTTTGAAATCGCCAAAGGTGTCTTTCTTGAATTAAAAAAATATCAATTTCCACTAAGAAAATGGCAGTCTAATTGTCAAACTGTTCTACAACATCTGGGTTTCAATGATTCAAATGACACAACATTCAATCTGAGCTCAAATGATCCATCTAAAACACTAGGCATTTATTGGAACATTAACAAAGACACAATTTCATACACAGTACATTCAGAATTTGTATCACAAAAACAAATCACAAAACGCACAATCTTATCCACCATAGGTCATATTTTCGACCCACTGGGACTTATTAGCCCTTGCATACTCGAAGCTAAGCTAATTATGCAACAGATGTGGACACACAACGTCAGCTGGGACGATGAAATACCGGTTTCAATACAACAACAATGGGCAAAGTTCGTAGAATCGTTATCTTTTATAAATCATTTATCTATTCCTCGGCGAGCATTTAATGACTCATCGCGCGATTACATTGAACTGCATATTTTTTGCGACGCCTCACAACAGGCATACGGTGCATGCGCATATATACGTACTTATACATCAGATGGCAGTATCAGTGTTCAACTGTTAGTTGCCAAGGGACGGGTGGCTCCTTTAAAAGCACTTACCATACCGCGACTTGAATTATGTGCCGCGTTGACCGGTGTTAATTTAAGTAATAAGATATTGAACTCCGTTCGCAACAAAAATTGTAAGTGTTATTATTGGAGTGACTCAATGATTGTTTTATCTTGGATAAACTCACCTACACATAAATTACAAACATTCGTAAAACACAAAGTCACGGACATTCTCAAACATACTGAACCACAGACATGGCACTATGTACCAACTAAACAAAACCCAGCTGATATTATTACTAAATGTACCAATGCACAACAATTACTCCATACACCTTTATGGTTTTCAGGACCTGACTTTTTAAGGAATGATGATAAACACAGCTGGCCTCATCAACCAGGGCATCTCAGCGTATCTGACCTTCCAGAAGTCCGGTCTCAAACACATCTCACGCACAAACATGTAACTGATAACAATTCATTCATTTACAAATATTCTAATTTTAACAAACTTACACGAATCGTAGCTTACATTCTTCGGTTCATTCATTACTGCAAACACAAACAATCAAAATTAAATCAAATCAACATTAAAAAACGTCAACAGATGCTCATAGGTGACGTCATACCCTTATCTACTAGCGAACTTAATTCAGCTAGATACCAATTAGCGAAGTTAGTGCAACTAGATTTATTTTTTGAGGAATATCAATTATTATTACATAACAAACAATTACCTCCATCACATAAGTTAAATTCACTTATTCCTTTCATAGGGGATGATAACCTCATTCGTGTGGGCGGAAGGTTAGCTCAATCGCCATACAATTACGATGGAAAATTTCCTATCCTATTGCATTCAGCTCATTACATAACTCAAATCATATTCTCAACATATCACATCACACTTCTACATGCTGGCCCACAATTGCTATTATCTCACATACGTCAAACATTCTGGCCAATTTCCGGTAGAAACTTGGCTAGAAAAACTACACAATCATGTGTTACATGCAAACGGTTTAAAGGTAAAACTGTAACACCTATCATGGGGCAATTACCTGAACAGAGATTGCATGCAAATTTTGTATTCAGTGACGTAGGTGTCGACTACGCGGGGCCAATTATGATCAACAACCGTAAGGGGCGTGGAAGTGTACTTGTTAAATCATACATCTGCATTTTCATCTGTTTTGCCGTGAAAGCTGTGCATTTGGAATTGGTTACAGATCTAACGACAGAGTCTTACATAGCGGCAATTAACAGGTTTATTTCTCGCAGAGGTAAACCAAATAATATTTATTCAGACAATGGAAAAAATCTGGTAGGTGCCGCTCGTGTGGTGACCAACTTTCTTAGAAATCACGGTGAGTCAATTTACAGTTGCGCTGCAGAACAAGGTGTAAACTTTCATTTCATTCCTCCATATTCACCCCACTTCGGGGGCCTATGGGAAAGCACCATTAAATCAGTAAAACATCATCTCAAAAGAGTACTAGGGATGGCACACCTCACATATGAAGAAATGTACACGTTGCTAGTTCAAATAGAAGGCATCCTCAACTCAAGGCCTCTCACACCTCTTTCATCCGATCCCAATGATCTCTCCGCTCTCACTCCCTTTCATTTTCTAATTGGTCGTACTCTAACTGTTCTACCTCATCCACAGATGTCCGACTGCGACACGGCACGGCTGCCGCGTCATCACCGAATCGAACTTCTACGCCAACATTTTTGGAGACGCTTTAATAAGGAATACATTTCTCAGTTGCATCAACGAACGCGCTGGCAACGTTCACGCGGCGCGCTTACAGAGGGCTCATTGATCATCGTGAAGGATGAGGCGCTACCGGTGGCTCAGTGGCCATTGGGACGTATCGTGAAGCTGTATCCGGGACATGACGGAGAGGCTCGAGTGGCGGACATCAAAGTAAAGACCGGGACAATCAGACGTGCCTTTCATAAAATATGCCCATTACTGGATGTACCATCGGACTGATAATGAAATATCATACATCATCATCACCTGGGCTGGCCTTTCCTTGGTCGCCCGGGAATATGTTAACGCACACGTTAACACGCACGCACATGCAGACACACATGCATCTCAAGCAGAGGGGAGCGGGCGGCGTGGCGGGGCAGCGACGGCTCGCGCGCCCTCCATATACACCTGACGACAACGCGAGCAAGAACGGACGGGATTGCGAATTTAATTTGTACTAACAGCCTACTTAAGAAAACCTATTAAACCAAGAAATACAGTCCACTCTTTTATTCCATCTGGGCCTATCTAAAAATAATTTCATAAATGCCTGGCATAACTTATTCAGGCCCCGATACCTATCTACAGTGTGGTCTAAAAATATTTTTGAAACGTCGATACGAGCAGCATTGGCGCCGTTATACTGCTTTACAACCACACTAGATTTATAGAGTTATGATATTTTATTGCAATATGTTCAGTAGTTTATTTAATTTTACCACTTTATTTGTTCTGTTCAAGAATAACGCGTAAATTATTATTTTCGGTACTGATTTTGATTTCATTGTAAAAATACATTTTGACATCCCATGAGCTCGTGATCCATTTACTCTCTTACGCGATATCTGTGCCACTTTTTATTCTGTAGCATAAACATAATTAGATCTTCAATTGTATGTAATGGAAGAGTCTACATAATACAATGCGGCGCTCGTTACCTACTTACAACAACAATAGCACCGTCCGCCATATCGCGCAAAACAACACACGATTCGACGCTTGTGCACCAGTCAGTGAACCTCTGTAGAACAATACACACGTGCGGGTCAACAGCTTCCTCTTCCGTCCAAACCCGTTGACCGTGAATACGTATTATTTTATTAGATTATAATTGTGATTTCTTTATTGTTGCAGGAAGCGTCGCAAAACCCAGATCACGCCGGTCCCTTGAAGCACCACACCCCAAGACTGAAAGCTCACTGCCGTCTTCCAAAGTATCTCCTAAAACTACTTTAAATTTATCTTTTGGAATCAAATCGACTCCACTTAAGTCTTCACCTTCAAATTCTTCTCCCCCAAAGACTTATGACAGACGTCGAAGTCCTGATTCTGGTTCTAAACCTAGTTGCATTCCTCTTTCCAAGAAACCCTCTGATCGAAATTTGCGGACATCTACATCGCCGGTTAAGCAGGACTTAACCCGAGACACAATATCAAGCAGATCGAAAGCAGAAACGCCCAGAAATAGATCAACTCGCAAAAGTCCAGAAAAAGCCAAGAGTGATACAGAAAACAATCGTATCGATCGAAGACATCGAGCTCAAAAAGATAGTGAAAGTCTTAGCGAAAAATATCATTATTCAAAGAAAAGACTGACTAGTTTAGAAAATAATTCTCCAAGAAAATCGAATGAGAAAAACGTTTCGCCTAAAACTCTTTCGAATGTTACTTCCCGAGCTAACCAAGAACCAAATGTTAATGCTTGTGGACTAGAAAATTCTAAAGTTACGAAGATGTCTACACTTCACGAAACTGTTAGACCACATAGTTCTAGACTTTCTCAGGAGATGGACAGCTTAGCTGCATTGACTAAACAGACATTAGATAGGGTTAACAAATTGTCGAATAACTTAACTAGTAATAAGATAAATTTAGACACACCTGAACCTCGTTTTGACTCCATATTCGCACCGAAATCTGACCTGAGACATAACAATCACGCATACAACTATGGTTTAATTAATCACGAAAGGCCTGTACATAACAGAGGAGTAACTGAAAGGTTAAGAGATATAGACACGGCAGCTCAGAGACTGATTGATTTTGAAAAGCAAAGTGCAATGTTTTCTGATCTCAATAACGATACGTCTAGTCAAAGTCGCCGTCTTGATACTTCATCAACGTCCTGTAGTCATACGCCTGTGTCTATCTTAAAACGGAAATCTATTCACGAAGACAGTGCCGCATCGAATAATACTAATCAAGCCATTGCATCCCCTCCAGTTACATTTTCACCAAGCGTGGTCGAACCACGAAATGGTCGCTCTGAAAGTCAACAGCGGCAAGGGATACTAAAGAAACGTCGAAGCTTAGATGAGTCGCAAGTAGCTCGAAGACGATCTTGCAGCCCGGAAGTGTCTTTTGCTGAAGATGGTTCTCTAGAAACAAATAAATCCATATTGAAAAATAGGAGATCTTCTCTAGAAGACGTTGTTAGAAATAGATCACCTGATGGCCAAATTCAAGGAATACTTAAAAGAAAAATGAGTCGAGAAGAAGAACTTCACACTGATGATCTGTCTCAAAGTTCGCCTGAGCCTCATGGCATACTAAAACGAAAATCTAATTCTAGTTCTAGTAGCAGTACTGCATCATCCCATGTTTCTATTGCTCAAGCTGTGTTATTAGCAGCAGCGGGTGGTGCAGAAATAGTGGAGGACGATAAAGAAATTGTGAGACCAATATTGAAGAAAAAGAGTTTCTCAGAGGAACGACCATCTCCTGATGTAGTGCTATCCGATACACCCAAGCCCATACTTAAGAAAAAATCGACCGAGTTTGATGATTACGATTTCGACCTGCCTAAAAAGCCGATCTTGAAGTCATCGAAAAAGTTGTCCGGAGACGAAGGACATGCTTCTAGTTTCGATTTGAGCGAAGACGACCGAAGCTCCCGAAGGCCTTCCCTCCTACGTTCCAGGACATCTGATCATTCAGGATCGGAGTGTGAAACAGCAGTGAGACCTATTTTAAAGCAAAGAGGTTCGAGTTTGACTAGGGAACGCAGCCAATCGCCGCGCCCACGGCTCTCTTTTTGCGCGGACAACGATGCGAACATTATTAGTGTGACGAATTTCAGTTGCGACGCGAACGACTTGTCGGCGGCTGGACCGCGACGAGTCTTGAATCTCGCGCCCGCTCCCAACCCGGAAGAGAGCTATCCGAGTGCAGTGCTCCGTCGGAGAAATCTTCGGCCGAAGACAAACCCTCGGTCTAAAAGCCTCGCGTGTGATGTAAATGATGAGTTGTTGTCTATATTGAACAACAGACGACAAAAAGTTGACGAGAATTGTGAAAACGGATTTTGTGAACCCTGGAATAGCGCATTTAACAACGCAACAGGGGACGATACCAAACCTAAATCGTTTCCATCAATTGCTTCCAGAATTAAATCTATGGAGCAAGCACTAACTAAAGACCTTTCACCCAGAGACCAGCCATCTACTTCTAAAGCAAGAACTCGTGACAAGGAACGCTACAAAACTCAGCCCATCACAGTGGAAGAGATGCGGTCGATAACATCCAGGTAAAGCTAATTTTATTTTTAATTTTAACGTCTTTTACTTTTAAACACGGAATGTATTTAGATCACACTAGATTTGAAAGTCATTGCATTTGTCGTGACTCGTCCCACACAATGTGCAATTACTTGTTGATATTATTGTTTGTTGTGATAGCATTTTAAATGTGTTATGATTTACCGTCTTTTTCTCTGTCATCTTGACTTGATAATTGATAAATGTTCATGTTCTGTTTATACTGCATCGTCTGTTTTCTTAGTATCCGACATCCTTAAATATGACTTTCTTTACAAAGGTGATTGTGCTGCGACCGGTGTTCAAATCTAAAAGTTGGCTCGTCGCCATTATTTTGATGGGTGAGCGGCCCACGCTACACGTGGGCTGTTCATCGAATGTTTTGTTCCGAACTATACATTGCGCTGTCCAGATGGTTAGTTAGTCATCCACATGTTTTTATTTTCTTATTCGTATTTGCATTATCATTTTCTGCTACCATAATATGAAGCAATCACTCAAGAGCAATAGAGTTTTTATATGAATTCTAGTTAATGAAGTCGAGTTAATAAAAAGTTTCATTTTGGAACCTTGAGATTGGTTCATAGAAGCTTTGTCTCTACATAGATACATAGTCTGAGGAGGAACTTAATTTAAATTAAAACAGATCTGCTAACTTCTTTAGGTTCTCCTTATTAACGGAGTTCCAAGTCTTTGAAGGCTAATCCCTTGCTTCTAATGAGAATTCTAGACGAGGTCTTCGTAATTAACTGCTTTATGAAAACATTGCACAAACCGTGTGTTAATTTGTGTTTTTCGATGTTCTGACATCATTCCCATTCCCTCAGTTGTTGTTCGGTTCACACTGGCAGTGAATAGCGTAAGAATTAAATTTGGACTCTGCAGATAAACAATTTCCAAACAATTTAACGTAAATTGTTTGGAAATTGTTTTTGTACTATTTCCTGTGTGAATTCTTTGCAAGCATGCATCGTTTAATTTGGGATTGTTCGCTTACAGAACTGTGAGTAGTCTGTTATTGAACTGGATGATTATTTTCTGAGAGCACTGTTTAACATTAATTGTTATTTCATTTTCAATAAAATATTTTAAAATGTATTGTGGTCTGCATAATGTATCTTACTTTCTCCTGGCCTGTTCTTGATTTAAGGGTCGGCAGTTCATTATCGAGTCTTAATCAAATTCTACTGAAAGTTAGTATTTTATTTTAATTTCAGGATTGTAAATACGCTTTGTATTTGAATTAAAGTTTAAAACTGCCAGAGACCAATATTTTAATGAATATTTATTATGAAAGCAATAAATAAGAAAATATACAAGACAGTATGTATAGTAGGGTCCCTTGATTGTTGTCACTTATCAAAATATCTTTTTATAGTGTTGGCATTACCTACTTAACAAATGCTACCGCATTATTCATCCTAGCGACTTGGCGTTGTCTCGCAGAACTATAATAAGAATAAATCCAAATCTGCCCACTGTCGTTGCGAACTGATTTACCTTCATTATTGTATTGCATTGACTGTACTGCTTCAACAAAATCTGTAGGATTTGTTTTAGTTTGCGCTAATTGATTGTAATTAATATTGGTTCGACATAGTGCTAATACATTCGCTGGCGCTGTCTTGATGACGGAAATAAGCGCTCCAGTCGTTTGTGGGTCAAGCACTATTTCTGGCTCTGTTGTGCTTCAAAGCACGCATCAAGAGTTTTATGACCGATCCGGCTGTGCGCTTAACTCCGTGCTCCCTTAATGCTTATCCATTGAAATGCAGCTATCGTCCGACGTGATCTTCATTATAAACTGCAGCATGTCACTCATCCAGAAAGTTTATTCTATGAAATTATCCAAACCTCTATTTTGAAGCCGAATAGTCAAGAACTGTATAAGAAATGAAGTATATTAAAGTAAATATTGTAGTACTATCAACACTACGAAAAAAAACACTTATATAAAATTATGACCGTCTGCTATTCGGCAGTAAATCGTTTATAGATCGAACCTCGATCGATAACGTTCAAATCGAGATCAGACATTTATATTTAGCTTATATTGCTGATGGTGTCAAACTTCCCTAAAACGATAGATCGGCGACGCCGATCCAATCACTCACGCCATAATTCATCGAAATTTATGAAGGCGAGCTGAAACAGCGACCGTCTCTTTCTTATGTACGGGTGTGTTCTACTTTAAAATGTTTCTTTTCTCATTTCGCAGTTTGGAACCGGGCCAAGCGCGTTTCCCAGCGTTCGGCCCCGCGGGCTGTAGTTTTCCGAGCCGACCCGTCGAGTCCGGTATTGCTCCCTCTATCAGGGGCCCTTATCCCCTACCAGGGGAACCCGAACCAGATCCCTTCGCAGACTTCGCACAGGCATTGGATTCACCACCCTACGGTGTAATCTCGTTCAATGCCAAGTCTCCTACTACAGCCAATGGGTTTTCCGATGGTGGCAGTAACAAGGACGACAGCTACGGTGAAGCAACATTTCTAGACTTCGAAAACATTGACGTGAATTCTGAAAGGAAACAGTCAACGTTAGATGAAATTGAACAAGAAGTGGACAAAGTGCGCGTGGCGTTAGACGAGGACAGTCGCGCTCTAGAAGAAGACGAAAGGCACCAAGCCGAGGCTGACAACTGGAGCTTGAATGTGTCGTGTGACAGTGGAGTGTATAACCGTGCTTCCTCCAGAGATTCCGGTCCACATTCCGGTAAGTCTTTCTCTGAAATTCACTAATAACGTTGGGCAGTTGGTTAGTTTATTAAACTCGTAAACTTATTTTTATCGGAACGAGTGTGCAGAGCGCTATAGTGTAAAACATCGTTAGGCTCATTTAGTGTGTCCAATAGTGACAAGTGTCAGTGTCATAAAGTACCCATATGAAAGCGATCAGTTGTGTCCGGCGCGGCCGGCGTTAACTTGCGGTTTGTTTACGTTCTGTTTGGTAAAATTAGATTTTACCGAATGCGCCGCTATTCGTATTAGGTCGGTTTTGAAAATAAACACAGTATAACCTTGCAGATGTCTCTCGGCCCACTTATTTGGGTCAATGTAATGCACGTGTTCTTTGTCAAACGTCATTGCATTACTTGAAGGTAGATTAATCGGTTATTAAGCGATTTGTGTCGTTTTTTTGCCTAATTATTTGTTGACATTGAAATATGACCGAATGAAAAACGGTTCACTAAAAACTTTACACTTTTGATAGCCTGCTCTTGATGTTTGGTCGAAATATTTCCTATCTGTAATATTAATTCTCAACATTCCAGGCGAGGAGCTTGGTTTGATTGAAAGCCAAGAGATCAGAGACAATCACGCAACAAACAGCAGTAGCAACGAGTGGTCTTCTTCGTCTATCGAGCGTGGTCTTCTTACCATGGATCGTGAGAGGAAGTCCACCGAAAACGAGGCTCTGAGGAGTCCTGAAGAAGCAGGAAGCGATGATGAGAACAGGGAACCTAGTGGATTTGCTCTCGGTCTGGTCAAGAGCAACAGCGTGGTGGCTCGGGCCAGCATGTGGCAACAGCTGCAACAGCAGGCTAAAGGTAATTATTTACGTTCGTTTAACCTTTACAAATATCGTAAAACAGATGTTCTTAAAAGCAAACTCAATTTAATATTCATTTTAATTCACAACTTTAGGACGTACGACATGACTGCTATGGATATTCGAATAGCATTTATAAATGTCTATTTAGTAATCAAGATATCTGGATGATTTTTGAACTTCATGAGTCACACATAAATGTGTTTATTACATAAGTGAACATGTATGTTCCAGGGACTCCGAAACCTCTGCTCCGTCACAGTCGCTCCAAGTTAAAGGAGGGACCTTCCGTGGTGGACAGGTTCAAAAGCCAGCCGATATCCTTCCCAGCGCCCGTGGTGAGCCCGACTGAGTCTACCGAGGAACAAGCACTCCCGCTGCCTCAGTCCAAAAGTACTGCCAACGTGCTCGACAGGGACGAAGATGGTAAGTCTCTAACCGTAACGATACACTAGCTTTGCAGTTCAATAGAAATCGTAAATGTATCTTTGAGTTTTGTCCTTTTCGTTAAATTATCAATATTTTTATTTTTTAAAGCAATCAAACAGTAATTGATCGCGATCAAAGGCATGTAAATTTTGCATTACAGTCAAAACATTCGCTTTCTGTCTTATGTATCGTCGGCTTTTGTTTCTTTTTTGCATGTCCTCGACTACTCTACTATGTGTATGTCCCGGGCTCTATCGTAAACACAACTGCACAATGTTATGTAAATACGCACACACTCACCGGTGGCAGCTAAGTTAGACGAAGACGACCCGGCGAAGATGTCTCTGTCGGAGAAGATGAAGATGTTTAACTCGAAGCTGACGCACAAGCCGCCGGTGGCGGGCGCGGGCGGGGCGCGGGCGCGGGCCGGCCGGCTGCGCACCATGCCGGTGCTCGCCAGCCAGCTGCAGCAGGCCCTGGACCAGAACGAGCGCCTCACGAAGTCGCTCACTCACGACGATGTGCCCCGTAATAACGATTTTCAATTGAAAATGGAGCTGTTCCGTTCGGCCAGCGCCAAGAACACGTCTTTAGAGTATATTATGAGGCAGAACGCCAAGTTTAGGAGCTTAGGTCTGATTTGTTCATTATTTTGAGTTTGACTTTGTCGTTTGCTTGAACAGTTTCGCTTCTGTGGGCTCGATCGGTACTAATACCATCGGTGTAATATTGTAGTCGTAAGTTCTGTATACCCAGTGCATGCTGTTTAACTTTTGCACGATTTAATCGCACGTTTTGTTGTATTAATTATTTTAACATGTTAGGTTTATACAATGCTGGTGTTGTGTAGTTTGTCATAATATATTCGTTGTTTGGTCGAGTTCTTTTGTTGTTTTATGACGTCTGACATTGCGGAGTTATTTTGTAAGAAACACGTGGATAACGTTGCGAGGCTTGAGTAACAATTAAACTGAGTGCATGCACCGCTGAACGTGTTCCGAATAATCCGTCACGTTCACTGAGATTTTGACATGAATCGTGATATTTAACAGACCACTGTGTTATATTCTGAGCTCAATAATCCAGTTAGTTATTGGCTTATTCGATATTACTCAGCAGTTATTCATATTGTATATCTCCCACGAATATCGTTGATATGACGGTGTGTAGTCGTCAACTAGTCATGGAGAGCTGTCAGAACCCATGAGGTCGCTTTCGTAAGGTCGCGACATAGATACGTGGGTGGGGACGGGACGGGATAGCCAATTTTATTTTAGTCATTCTGTAATAACAGTAGAAAAATGTTACATTGTTTTGAATTTTACTAAGAACCTTTTCTTTGAAGTATTTTAAGGTTTGCAGACCATGAAATATTGGACAGATCTATTCGATTTTTATGCTGTTTTTATTAACTACTATTATGATTATTTTGTAATGTAATATTTATTGGAATTTAACATATTATCTATTTTATTGAGAGATTAAACAACTACCGTCCTTCGGCTTCACTAATCCTCTATCTATGTATGTGACGCTTTGTATATACAGGGGGCGTAAAATATACGTATTACAATTTTTAAGTTAAATTGTCATGTTTCAGATTTGGATGACGATTCTCCATCGGAGCGGGCTCAGCGCATGATAACGCCGGAAGTTAGGGGCATTCTTAAATCCGGCTCAACTGTTGTGCCTTCCAGGCCCAAGACCTTAGCCAAGGGAGAGAGCTCAGAGGTTTGTACAGTTAGTATACCCATTGCTTTTTTTTTGACACCTAAATTACATGTCACTGTCACGCAACACTTTTGCATCAATCTGTAGTTGACTAATGGTTAATTTATTCTTCTTTGACTGCCTTGTTGTCCGAGTGGTCGCAAGTGCGACTGCCGGGGCAAGGGGTCTCGGATTGGAGTCGGGCTAAGTACTACTAGGCAAGAAGTCTGGAATTGTACCCGATATAGGGCAATAGGCTCACCCCCGGTGTTACATTGTACAGTTGCATTAAGCGTCGTAATGTGCACCTCTGCCTACTCCTTCGGGGATAAAAGGCGTGATGTTATGTTTAATGTTATTCCTCTTTGTCTCCATTCGATGGAGACAAAGAGGAATAACCAAATTCTCTGTTCCATTGTAGTTGTTGCAATGTATTGCTTATAACCGTTATACTAATGAACAAACTATATTAAAACGACATATCTGTATATTGAATCCCAACATAACTTTGTATTTCAAACCTCCATTTCACAACGTCCTAATTTAGAAGCCATTAAAAAAAATATATGGGCTCGACCGATATTGATATGAACTAAAATAGATCAATGTGCCTACATACATTAACTATAGTCAGTAAATATAGTTTCGTTCGTAGGAATCTGTGCGTAAAGCTGTTGGTATGCATCGCTTACTATTTTGGCTCACACTTGCATTGTATTCAAAGGAAACATGAATTGAGATTTAAATAATCAGTTGGGTTTGTCAAAATTTAGATGCACTTGACTATACTGGGTACTGAGAACTGGAAAAATATATCTATACTGTGTTTTTAGCCAAACGCCAATTAAGCGCTTGTCTACAGAGAGAGTAGAAAACTAAATGTATGGGGATGACACTGACAAGTCAAAATTTACGTCAATTCCATATAATTTGGTTTTTTATTCTACATGTAGACAAGCGCGCAATGGCATTTGGCTACAGCTGCTGGTGTTGGTAATAGGACTCTTTGCAATAATAAAACCCTTTTTGTAAAATGGTTGCAAGCGCAAGCAAGATTAATGTAAGCATCAGTGCATAAGCAAGATTTTTTTTTCTATAGTGTAAAGTGTAATAGTAATAGTGAAAAGTGGGTGTTACATTGTACAGTGGCATTTAATGCATTAATGTGCACCTCTGCCGACCCCTTTGAGGATAAAAGGCGTGATGTAATGGCCGATTCTAGTATATGATTACTTCAAGCCATGTGTCAGAAGTAGATGCATTCAGTATTAGTCATCTTGATTATGTAACGGGGATTTGTGTGTACCTATTGATAGCTAGGTCAGTTACTTTGATGACATTGTCAATCACACCTCCGGATGTTCTAAATATTGGCACGACTAACGGATGGTGTAATATTTAGAGAACTTACAAGATGAATCAAATACATAACAATATGACCTATAATATTAATGTCATAATAACTAAAGGGAACTATGCGAACGTATTAATTCACTTACATATTACACTCAGACCCTTTTCTTATTTTATTTTTTTGACAAGACCTAAATGTTTTGTTTAATTTGCATTTTAATGATAAAAACAATGCAATATTACAATCCTTAATTGAATACTTTTGATATGTATTAAATACCCATTATTATTGTTACAGGGCCTCAAAGACGAAGGCATCGACAGTTCCTCGGACGAAGATTCGGTATCTACAAGCGTATCATCATCGGAGAAAAGCTGTTCATCATCAGACAGCTCCGACGAGCTCCCAGACCCAAAACCTAGAAGATTCCAACGCAAACCGAACAAACTGAAATCTTCTAGAACTGAATCAGATATACCAAGACATCCAGAAGCATTCCCCTGTAAAATAAAGCTACCAGGAGCGAATGAATTAAAAGAGAGGTTGACGCAAGCCAAAAACCCTGATGTTAAAATCCCAATGCTGGGTAAACTTGGCAGAAAACCCTCAGAAGAAGCGAAGAAGGAAGACGACCAGACCCGATACAGAAGATTCGTCAAGAAGATTGATGAGCCTATTCAACTAGGCAAGTTGAGAAGGCCGGCGGAGAAGGTGCCGCCTCCAGCCCAAGAAGTTCCACCTCCAGTGCTTAAGATATCTGCATTGAACCAGGCTGCTAAGAACAAGTTCTTCGGTCTGGACCCTGCGAAGAAAGAGAAGAGTATTGATGAGCTAACAGCAGCCGTCAGAAAATACATTCCACCTGTAAGTATTCTTGCACATTTTTATTTCGCTGTCTAGTGAATCTATAGAAACTTGTATATCTTTGTTAATCAACAATTAACGGCACTGGAAATTTCTACTGAACAATGACCTCTTCTGCAACAGTGGGTTTACTTTATGCAGAGATAGAAATCACTGTTGTGCAGGTCTCAGTCAAATGTTTCTCGTAGTTGGCTTTTACAACACCCAGTGGAAGAGTAGGAATTCTAAAGGAGTAGTAATTTTATTCTATTGATTATTTTTTATGGGATAAGTCGGTAAGCGAGCAGACGGATCACCTGATGGTAAGCAAACGGAGTCGCCCATGGACACCTGGAACTTGGTTACAAGTGTCGTAACGCACTTGTAACCAAGTTCCCAACCCTTTTGGTAATTAGGAATTTAAAAATTGTTTGGGATTCAGGAATTGGGGAGAGAGGGTAATCAGACTGCACGGTTGGTGCGGTGGCTGGGCAACCGGCTGCCGTGCAACGTGTCGCGGGTTCGATTCCCGCACGGAACAACACTTTGTGTGATCCACAAAATAATTGTTGTTTCGGGTCTGGGTGTGATGTGTATGTGAACTTGTATGTTTGTAAACGCACCCACGACACAGGAGAAAATCCTAGTGTGGGGCAACGTTTTATTTAAAAAAAAAAAAAAGAAAAAAAAAAAAAGAAAAAAAAGACCTCTGGTAACCTCACTCACACGACGAAACACAACGCAAGCGTTGTTTCTCGCCGGTTTCCTATGAAGCCGTGGTATCACTTCGATTGAGCCGGTCCATTCGTGCCGCAGCATGGCTCTCAAACACTTATATTATACATATGTATTATCAGTGACATATATTATCAAGCTGTAATAAAAAATGTTGTAATCAGTAATCCTAACTATACATTCTTCTTATAGGTAAGCAAATCAGTGTCATCCCACACGATGGAGATCCCAGGCTCGGGCAGCGACGGGGAGAGCAGCGGCGGCCGAGAGGTGCGGCACATCAACACCAGGGGGCGACACAGGTCTGTACCAAGTTGTTACTTCATTCTGGATATAGAACTTTACCGTGTAACCTTTACGTGTTACCTTGTAACTTATGCTCGTAACTATATTCGCGAGTATTATAAATTATGTAGATACATGCGTTAATTGTTTGGGGTAGTTGATCAGTAACGTGATATTTTTTTAAAATTTAAAACTGGACATTCATTTTGAGTATTTAGATTCAGCCAGGCATCTTGTTGCTACACCCTATTATAGACCTTATGGCACAAACTTTGGTCATAATAAAAAGGTTAACATTACAACTGCGCAATAATATAGAAACTCAACTTTTTTTCAACTTTCCTTCGTCAAAAATTAGTAAGTTATGCGAAAATATCTATTATTTAAATGAAATGTTAGCGATTTATAAAAACAAATACCGCACAAGCAGTACAAACATAACAATTGTCGGCTCAACTATTGAAATTTTCGCGCAGTTACCGAAAACGGGACAATTTTGCGTCTCGAGTGCCTAGCATGAATAACTATCGCATTCGTAACGTAATAGTATCGAGCGCGTTCGGCGCTCTGATTGGCCGGCCCAAGTGAACCAACCAATCAGAACGCTTAACTCGCTCGATACTGTTACGATACGAATGCGATAGTTATTCGTGCTTGGCCCTCTGGAGTTCATTTCGAGAAGAACGGGTCTCGTAATTGTAAAAAGGTACAGTTCCGACCAGGTGACCGCCTGGACCAGTATCAGCGCAAAGAATTCGACATTAAAAAATACAAAAATAAAAGTCCTCATCCTTTTTTAATTCGATTTAAGAAACATGAAAGTATAAAAATGATAGAACAGATTTGATTAAACGTATAATTATAACAGATAAACAATCTCACTTTTAATTGAATTATAACGTCTTAGTTTTTCTTTTCAAATTCAAATCGTTTATTGCGAATATAGGCCAAGAGTAGATGTTACAGTAGTTATTATAAATTAATTTGATCAGCTAAATTCTACATTAGTTGTTCGCTATAAAGCGCTAAATTACTTTTATAAGGTATCTGATCATATTTTCTTAGGGAAAAATTTAGGTACACGATGTCAAATGAATTTGTGCGAAACTGCAATATGAATAACTTCTCACGCCATATCATATTAAATGCTGTAGAAAGATATCGTATTATGATATGTTGCGCGTGTGGTGTACCTAAATACTGGTATGTTATTACTTTCTTAGGTGCATGTTACCAAGTAACTGTATACCAGATAACAATATTTCTATATTTTTATATGGATATAATATTATGACGTGGTGGCCCGGAGGTTTAAGACGCCCGCTTCTCATGCATAAGAGTGCGGGTTTAAAACCTACCTAAGGCAAGTACCAATGCGACTTTTTTCCGAGTTATATGTACTTTCTGAGATTATTTAGACACAACTGACAAGCGGTGAAGGAAAAACATCGTGATATAACCTGTGCTTATAATTTCTAATTATAAGTTTGTAATCGTCAACCCGCATTGAGCATGCGTGGTGATTAATGCTCAAACCTTCTCCGTGTGAGAAGAGGCTTTGCTCAGCAGTGGGCATTTATAGGTTATTGATGTGATGTGATGTGATTATATAAAAAAATATTATGATGTTTTCGATACCTCACATAACACCTTGATCTATATATTACTTGAGTTTTTTACGAAAGTTGATAAATTATCGTCATCATCCTCAGCTAACAAGTGTCCGCTGCTGACCAAAGGTCTCTTCACTCACTTACTCAAGGTAGATTGGCGATTTGAAACGAATTTCCTCAGGATGTATTCCTTTACCTTATGTCAACTGTCCAAATAATCTCCAAAAAAGACATCATAATACATAACATAACATGTCATAACGCCTTTTTATCCCTGATGGGGTAGGCAGAGGTGCACATTGCGACATTTTGTGCCACTGTGCAATGTAACACTCACGTATTCACTATTTATGTTATGAGTCCCATGTGATAGGGGGTGAGCCTATTGCCATATACTAGGCACAATTTCAGACTCCGTGCTACTACTGAGATTTTTAAAAACCCAATAATACTTTGCCCGACCCGAGAATCGAACCCGAGACCCCTTGCCCGGCAGTCGCACTTGCGACCGCTCGGCCAATGAGGCAGTCAGTACATCATAATATATTCAAAAAAATCTTAAGAACTTCATCAGAATCCTCGGTTCGTCAGTATCCTTTAGGTAGTTGTAGGTTAACCTTAATTCAAGGCACTAAGATCATTTTTTCTACATCAAAATCTCACACAAGAAATACAACAAAACAAAATATTACATAAAGCATTTGTTCTACATACATAATAATGAGTTGGTAGACAATTCTAACATAATATGTTTGTGGTTTTGCAGTGTATATTACACATTAATTATAATTACGTATGATAATTACCTTTGTGCCATCTGTTGCGTATCAAGGTCGTGGAATTTTGCAAAGATTTTTAAATATTTTTAAAATAACTATCGTGAGACATCCTAAATTAACTAAAAACTCATTAGTAACACAGATATTTATAAATAAGATATTTCAATCTCCCATGTGGTCGGTCTCGTCTCCGATTTAATGACTATCTTGATTGCTTTCATTTAGAAGTAACGCAACTAGATGAGCGCCTGCTGACAGTCCGTGTTTGAGTATTAATAAAGATAATGCACACACATTGAACATTATACATGCGCAACATTTATACTGATGCTCAATTAAGTTTTGTTATTTTAAAAGTGGTTCCACTGTAAGACTGCACGGTTGGCGCGGTGGCTGGGCAACTGGCTGCCGTTCAACGTGTCGTGTGTTCGATTCCCGCACGGAACAACTCTTTGTGTGATCCACAAATTGTTGTTTCAGGTCTGGGTGTCATGTGTATGTGAACTTGTATGTTTGTAAACCCACCCACGACACAGGAGAAAATCCTAGTGTGGGACAAGGTTTAAAAAAAAAGTGCTTTTCCTATGTCGCTATATGCTTTTACCAGCATAATAATGCAAGTTCATATCACACCAGACGTGAAACAACATTTTGTGAATTACACAAAGAGATGTAAGGTGTTCCCTGTGGGAATCAAACTCACTTAAAACCATAGGCATAAATACACTGCCACTTTTCATACAATAAGTCTTGAAAACAGATTACATTTTTTATAGAGACAATTTAGTGGCATGTAGTTGCGCTATACAGCTTATAAATACTCTAAAGGGCGATAATGCAACAGGAACCGGTTCGATTCCGGCTTAGTTGAAGCCGCTTAGATTAGATTGGAGTTTCGTACTTTATGTTATAAAGTTACTGAGCTTGTTTATTTGTTTTAACAGAAGATACCAGAAAAAAATATTTGTTTCATCTATCATAGTAGATTAACCAATGAAATCTTGCAAAAAATGCATGTTGTGATGATTGTTTTCTATATATCTATTTCTTTGACCATAGCAACTGATTTATAGGACAATAAATAGTAATTTATAATTTATTTGTATAAGACAAAAAAGAGCTTCCAAAACCAAATACCAACCAAGACCTTCTATTTGAAATCTCAAAAGTATTCCATGAGAGAATACTATTGAGCCAATAAATTAGTTACTATGTTATGAAATAAATAAATTCAATATTCACGTCAGTATACCACATAGACGGACATATACAGATCAGATTGGCAATATATTAAAGAAGGGCTAAATTAAAAGTACCCTTAACCAACAAGCATGCATGAAAAGATTGATGACTGTTGATGAAGCGAAAGAGGTATGAAAGAATCTTAGCAATTGGCGTTCCTTAATCTGTAGGCAGAGACAGGCGTGAAGTTATGTATGTATGTATACCACGAAGAATGTATCATAAACTATCTTTTAACATTTCTACACTAAGATCGCTATCCCGAGGCAATAGAACGCTACACTATACTTAAACTCCGACGATGGGCAAGCATCTAGGCAATCTAAACCTATATAATATTAGCCCTTATATGCCTTACCTTTATAAAATAATACGGTACAGTAATGTTAGGTCGTAAGCTAGTGGGACTAGGCTTAGAAATGTTCTCATGGATTTGTAAAGGATCAAAGAATTAGAAGGAATAAATATCTTAGTTTAGTAGACTTTTTATGATCGTACTGTTAGTAATAAAAATAATCTTGCAACTTGCTTACCATACGAATTACGAATTTATGGCATACCCTTTTTATATGAAAAGGATTGTTGCGATGCAGTGGCGTAACTACAGGGCCCCCAGCTGGAAGGGGTCCCGTTCAGAAGTTTGCATCTGACCTCTGTTTTTTATTGGGAACCGGGCCCTTTCTTAAGGGGTAAAGTCATAGAATTCATTCTCCCACCTTAGTGTCAAACTCTTACTGACTAAAAACCACCATGTTTCTACTCCTGCACTTCGAGCCGGTACCCCGGTAACCTTTTACGTTGTCCTCGGCTCCGTATCGGCAACGGAACGGGGGCTTATCGGATGAATTTGCCACGTATAGCTACGTCATTCCAATGTCGCGAGGTGTTGTTGTTGAAATGAAATCCTATTGAAAAAAAACCTCTCTTCACTCCAGACAAAATAGAATATGATTAAACTGAAACAAAATACGATTGCTAGTTACAATTTTATTAGTAGGTCTGCTAACAGCTTAGGTTAAAGAAAGTCGTCAATTACCCGCTAACTACGTAGACGGGAAATCATGTGTAACAGTGCATTAAATTAATGGTGACTTACTAACATTTTCTAAGTCAACAATCATAAGATTTCCCGCTTTTGTTTCTATGTATTTATTTTTATGTACCTAACTTGCTTTTTTACCGCCTGTGGCTTCGTCCGCATTGTCAAAAGTAAAAATAGCATCTCTGACTCTAGAGTCAGATCTGTCATCAGATCCTAGGATCTAAAATTAAAAGTTTTGACATTTTGTTAAACATACAACATGGCCATGTTAACATAGAATAGAGATTCAAGATATTTAGATAGATCATCTTAACAAACATTGTAACTCATGCGCATGATCTTAAGTAAGTATAACTAAATTACTTTCATACTGTCTCAATGCCATTAACATAATTTCCCGTTAATATATACCATCCAGGTTATTACACACTTTTTTAATCACGTCCCTGGTTTTCACCCATGCGGTGCGCATGCGCAGAGCTTTCCAACGAAAGCGCTTTACGCTCGTCTGGCTTCGGATATCACTAAACCGAAGTTTGCGCTTCGCTGCTTCTGGAAACCTGATGTAGAATTAAGTAGACAGAGTCAAGGAATGGAAATCTTATACACTGATTGGTTCAATGACATACTGCACAGTTGGCGCGGTGACTGGGCATCTGGCTACCGCGCAACGTGTAGCCGGTTTGATTACCGCACGTAGCAACTCTTTGTGTTATCCACAAATTGTTGTTTCGGATCTGGGAGTTATGTGTATGTGAAATTGAATGTTTGTAAACGCACCCACGACACAGGAGTATCGTGTACAGTCGTGTGTTATGTAAAGTATAAATAAATATGTTTCTAAAAAAATATGTTTGGTAGGTCATAGTACTTCTAAAGATTACCCACTATCGTTTGAAAGGACTTTCCCGGTTAAATCCTTGTGTGTGTTTGATAAATTGATTGTCTACTTGTAACCACTTGAGAAACAATATTCTATTATGTAATTCTCGCACAGTAAGTAAACAATCAGGCCAAACCAATCCAGTAAACTAGAACCAGACGGTAGTCGGCACTAACACAAAATAATAACAAGCTTAACGTTATTTCGAAATCAATATCGTTATTGCTACTGTTATCAAATAACACAAATATCGTTAACGCCACAACTGTACACGCTAGTAAAAAATACGATATAACATAACATAACATCACTCCTTTTATCCCTGAAGGGGTAGGCAGAGGTACACATTACGGTACTTAATGCCACTGTACAATGTAACATCCACTTTTCACTATTTATGTTATGAGTCCCATGTAATAGGGGGTGAGCCTATTGCCATATACCGGACACAATTCCAGACTCCGTGCTACCATTGAGATATTTTTTTAAACCAGTAATACTTTGTCCGACCCGGGAATCGAACCCGAGACCTCTACGATCACTCGTTCAACGAGGCAGTCAATAAAATACGATATACTACTTAATAACATAGTAAAATATAACAGCTACCGTACATTTATTATCGTTTACCACGAAACGTTAAGCGTAATCGTTTTATTACCAAAAATGGGCATTGTCTAACATAGCATTCGCTTATAACTGTCTTACAATGAATTTCAAACCTTATTCTCTAGCAAATAAAGTTGGTTTTCGACTGCAGTATTTAACGGCCGACTGGCACAGTTGTTTCCTTGCGAAATGGTTAGGAAGTCGCGTGGAATAACCATGTACGGTAAAACAGATCATGAGGCTACATACAGCTACAGGTACTTGTGCTTACCTTGTTTGTGTAGTGTTGATGTATTAGCGGCCCCTAGATGCTGGGCCTGTATACCTGCCTCTTGAATAACTAGGTACATGGATTGTTTTGGCAATTAAACTATATTTTCCTTATAGAGTGATTCTATAAGGTTTTTGGCAATTAAATCATCCTTACATAACACCTACCCTGACGGGGATAAAAGGCGTGCCCTTTTATCCCCGTCAGGGTAGGCAGAGGTGCATATTACGGGACTTAATACCACTGTATAATGTAACACTCACTTTTCACCCTGTTATGAGTCCCATGTAATAGGGGGTGAGCCTATTGCCATATACTGGGCACAATTCCAGACTCCGTGCTACTACTGAGAAGAAAACAATAATACTTTGCCCGACCCGGGAATCGAACCCGAGACCACCTTGCCCAGTCACACTTCCGACCACACGGCCAATGAGGCAGGCTATATCACTCTTTGTAATTATGTTCGGATAATCTTCCTCGTGGGCTTCAGTGACATAATTCATAATGGTCATTTAGGCGACCCACTTCACTTTCTCCCCCATCAATCCGTAACTATCCACTTGGATTTAGATACTAAGATGAGAATGTATGTATTTTGGGTATCTTTTATACCATTGTAACATAAATTTAGGTTTGAAATACTTACTGTCAATGTTTATCGATATAAATAAATCCATGACTTGAAAAGCATGCACTTCAACATCGGTTAAAAACAACATGTTTTGTCCGAGCCTAAACGTATGAAACGTTATTCGGAGTCGCGGAGAACCAAATGGGTAACCGGGGCTCCGGCTAGAAGTGCAGGAGAAGGAACGGGGTGGTTTTTAGTCAGTAAGAGTCTGACACTCCCTCCCGCCTCACCCAGGCGGGAGCAGTCATTCTTTGATTTTCCCCCCTTAAAAAAAACGTATGAAACGTCTAAACATCCATAGGAAAAATGAATGACATGCATAACACATAACACATTATTTTCATTTTGTTTACACATGTATCTATGTAGCAATTAAACCATTATGTAGATCCCATTCAAAATCGTCAGGAAATTACGTTGATACTTATGCTATACCCTGACAAAGCACTTTTTCTTTATTTTGCTTTTATAAAAGCAAGTCATTAGAGTACGCAACACATATTATCTTGTACATTTATAGCAGGTCAACGTACACCGATCCTTGTTATTACATTTTCAACTTTTATGTTTGTGATATAGAGTTGAAAA